CTGGCTGCATGGCGACCCAGGCAAGTGTTAGAAGTTCTGCTGCTTGCCATGCTTCAGTTTTCAGGTCAACAGCCCTCTTCCTTTTTTCTGCAGTTGGTTCTGGACTTAGTAGACTTCTTTGTGATCCCCAGCTTTGGGGAGCTTGTGCTAAAAGCACAACTGGGACAACTGCGGCAGATTCGCTGGCAAGTCGAAGCGATCTGCCCCTGACCCAAATGTCCGGGCTGTGCAAGCTTGTTGTGAAGACCATGTGGGTCGTCAGCTGTCCTTCAGGCGTGCCAGGATTTCCTAGCTGCATCTGCCCTTTCATGACCGTCGAAGAAAGCGCAGACACAGGACGTGTAGACAGCAAAATGCGGTTGCAGGCGCGAGTGCTCGGCATCATTCCCTGATAAGGCGACAGCGCGCAACCTCCCGAAATCTGCAGGCGGGCATGCAGCAGCCTACCATACCATCACGTTCTTTTCGTTCCAACATTTGCAGTCATGCTATGCGCGGCTGAGCTGTTGCAGATGTCGAGATCCACCCGGCCTCGCCAAGTTCATGGAGAAATATGGAGCAAGTGCATTTCCGGCTTTAGGTTGTTCACAATAAGGTGAAAGCTGTTCCTCTTCTTTGGGGTCCGTGCTCGAATATCAGCTTTGAGCGCAGAATGCAAAGTTCACAAATTCCCGGTCCTTGTATCTAGACAGCCCTTAGCCCTTAATTGGTCATTGGCGTTCTCAAGTAGTGCTTTATTCTCTGCACGGTGGAGAATGCGGAAAGCAGGCAGTGCTGGGCAGCTTCCGCTAGTTCGCTGGAAGCTAGGCGCCGCATTTTTGAAGGACCTCGAGTATCCAAACATTTGAGCCGTGAGCCCTATGTAGTAGCAGCAGGTTTTGGCAGCATGCCACCTATAGCCATCCAGCAGCCTCAATGTCAGCAGGATCCGTAGTCACGGAGCCTGCAGGCCGCTGAAAGCACTGCTCACCTCGTTGCGGTTTAGGCCCTTCGGCCCCAACGGAATACTCCAATGCTGGGGGGCGGCTTAGCCGCATCCTGTGCCGGGGCTTCTTACTCCTGGGTGGGATTTTAGTCCCCGTGCCTTTAGGGATACGGTTTTTCCACTCGCTTGTCACCTCCACTCTCTTTGAGAGTTCAAGCCTTCGAACCCCAGAGCCCAACAGCTCCAAGCCTGAAGGAACCAGTGAGCCTGATACTCCGATGCAACCAACACTGATGCCAATATCGCCGGAGGCTGGAGGCAAAGGGCTCTTCTTCAGATGCCTGCAGTCAGGCAAGCCCAAGAAGTTGTAGGCAAAGCTCTGATTAACACGCTGACCCAGATCTTTCCAGGCGGGGCTCCAAGTTGAAGCCCGCAGGGTGAGGGATTGGGAGCTGAAGATTCGCCAGAGATGCCGTACCTTTGAGGGTGTAGGGGTTAGGATACAGGGTGGCGTGAGCATTTCGTGAGTGATGAATAACCCGAGACTGCTCTACGCCACTGGAGCTTTGCTTGAAGATGCCGCGGCTTTCCGGAACCAACGTTTTGGCACAGCGTTGCGTGAGCAGGCTTCGTGGAAGCTGATAAGGAAGCCCATCATTGATGCATGAATAGGATGCCAACGCATTAAGCGCATCATGCGTCAAGCCCGCTTTTAGTTCTAAAGCCAGGTGCAGGAAGCATGCACCCGCTTCGCAGCTGATAGTTTGGCGCAACCCCTACCATCAGCAACAAGCGCCATCAGTAGCTATCGGCCCTTTGCTGGGATTTGATCGCAGACCTGCGCCTGATGAGCAGGTGAGCGTTTATCTTTGTTTATATGGTTCGGAAGAGGGCGGCGGGCCTCTCAGTTCTATATAGAGTGTTCCAGACCCTCTCTGGAAGATGGTCGTGCGGCCTCCGTCCAGACCCCTTCGTTCCATACCCTTAATGAGCCATAATGCCTTAGTAGATCGTGCTATGAATTTCCTTCCATACCCAGTTCCATACTGGTTCCATACTGGTTCCATACCTGTTCCAGACTACGATCATTGATCTGAGGATTCCATGCTAGGGCAATACTCAGACACGTTCCGAGGCCTCGTTCCGGAGAGTCCGGAGCAAAGTTGACGACATGGGGTCCCGAAGGCCCCCCCCCTTTTCGATAAACACCCATGTGACGTGGAAGCTGAGGGCCACGCAGCAGGGGCCAGTGGGGAGTGAGGGTCTCGAACTTCTGGTTGGGGGGGCTGGCTCGGAGTCGAGCAATAGTCTTGAAGCTTTAACCTTCTGGTCATCCCCAAGAAGAGCTTCGGGAGTCTTGTTGTTAGTGGGCTGTTGAACATTGTTCTACAATGCTTCGTGTAAATGCACGGATGATGCAGTCTAAAGTTCCAAAACTCACGAAGTGTCTGATATAAAGTCCAAAACAAATCCGTAACTGTGACCCCGGCGTTTGCTCGCGCGCCGAGAGCAAAGGCGAGCGGCACTTGGTTGAGCGGCCGGGGTTTAAACAGAACTTGCGTTTGGCTTACCTAGGCTCCTTGGTGCTGCTGATTTTGTTTGGTTTATCGTGCGAGATCGAGGTCGACGAGTGCAAACTGTCCTGACATGCATTGATTCCCCTGTTGGGAGTCATGCCACTGACTTGTGGTTTCTCCCACATGCATGCGACCTAACTCCACCACATCACTTGTTGGAACTTCGACGCATGTTGCTCTAAGGCTGCAGAAGCACAGGCCCGCTAAAAACTGCAAAGTCCGGTCACTCACGCCGCACCATACAGGTAGCTCCAGCGTGCTGCTCGCATGTTAAAGGCATCTCTAGTGGCAGTTTGTCTACAAGACCACACACCGGGCCGATGACCAGCTGCTGGTCTGGCTACGCAGCCCATGTAGCTATAGCGGGGTTGGTTGCGCCAGGCAGTCGAGATGTTGCCGCATGTCTGCGGCCGCCAGAAGCCACCCTCATGTCCGCACCAGTAGCCCGCAAGCATGCTGCCGCATGTCTACGCCTGCCAGGAGCCACCCTCATGTCCGCTTGCTTGGGAAAAGTCGAAACAAGGACCCACACGGTCGGCGTAAGAGCACCTTTTGCAGGAGACACTGTTTAGTGTTCACGGCTGAAAATAGTTCGGGGTGGCTGTTCTGAATTATGGCCTTTTGCGGGGTCCTTCTGTTCACATACTTTCCCAAAAGCTATCCTCCGCCCAGTTTTTGGGCTTGTAGTTTAAACGTACAGCTTTCGGGATTGAAAGCTGTTAGGTTTGGACTCTGGGGCAGGGCTCACCAGTGACATGCCCGAAGCTTGTTAGACTGGTACTGTCACCATGACGTCTTCTAGTGATACTGTAGTCACCATTGTACTTGGGAGTCTTGCCGCCACTGTGCATGTGGCCGATTCTGGACAAGCCGCTTCGAGACCGTTCAACATGACAGCCCAGCCCTGCCCCCGCCACCGCATGGCGCTTCAAAGCACATGCTCAAGACGACAGCAATTGAATGAACCGACTGATAACGGGCTGCTGGTCCGACCACATGCCCTCAGCGGACTGCTTGCGGTGCGAGGCAGTCGAAGTGTTGCTGCATGCCGGGGGCTGCCACCAGCCACCCCCCTGTCCGCACCAGTAGGCTGCAGTCAAGCTTTTTGCAGCGCCAGCGTCCACATGCATGCATCAGCTCATCAGCATGCGTCAGGACAGCTTCCGCGACCATGCATCCTTTGTTGGATAGTTTGTTTCGGAAAAGCTTACGTAGGAAAGGACATCAGTGGCCATCAGCAAGCCATTAGCTCCCCACGCATATTCTGGAAGCCAGGGACTCCGTCCTTGTAGAGTGTGACTGGTTTTGCCACCGACTCTTCGAGGTCTGATCAGATCATGCAGGATTTCGGAAGATCTTTGCGCACTTCCGTGCTGGCGCTTCGTAGCTTGTCATATCATATACCCACGTGAGGATCCCATGAAATTTCGGACGGTCTGTTTGTGCAGGACACTCAAAGATCCAGTATAATATTTTTAAGTGCCCCCAGTGTGTTGTCGGCACCATGTATCTGTCATGGTATTACAGCATGTAGGTGTGTCTGTGTGTATGTGGTTATGCAATGATCATCATCATCATCAATATCATCGTCATCAACAACAACATGGTTATTAGCATCATCGGAACCATCATCACCCAACATCGTCATCGTCATCACCACATTCTCATGAAGATGATGACAGCTTCTGCAACAGGCTTTTCACGTCTCACAGAAGTACCGGCTTCCAATTGCAGCTTTTGCTTGCAATTGCGAAAGCTTCCAAAAGAACCCCCATTGGAACTTTCATAGCATCCCCAACATTGGTTTGCAGCATGTACTCAGCCACTTTACCATCCAACTTCTGCTTCTTCCGCAGTTGGTCTTTGAGGTTGACCGTGCGCACTTTGGACCACTTGCTTCGGCACCACAGCTTAAACCGGCTGATCTCCGACTCGGCATCCTTTGAATGTACACCAGTCGCCAAATCTCTGAAACCTTTCGCATGGTTGCATGCGGACGAAGAAAGGTTGAGCTCCTCAGCAGCTTTCTGTGTAGATAGCCAGCCATCTGAAACAACAGTGGAGCGAGACTTGATATGCTTGCCGATGACGTTCTTCAAACTTGTCTTGCCTCGTGGTTTCTTCGACGGAGCTGCTTCAGGATGCGGAAGTATCTCGAGTGCAACCCTCTTGGTTCCCTTACCATGCGTCTTGACTTGTTTCTTGCCACACTCCACGCCCACCCAAAGCCATCTGGTGCTCTTGCGCTTGTCCAAGGCGGTCCCAGCTTTTTTCTTGGGATGCGGTTTTGCAGCAGGATGCCAAACCGTTTTGCAAGGCTTTCTAGCAACGATTCTCGCAGGCTTTTTCATGATGCGACCAGCTTTCACAGCCTGCTTGCCAACCATCCAACCGACCTTGCCGATACCACTCTCGTCAACGACAACATGCGCTCCAGGACCTCCAATCCTATAGGTTGCTTTTGCGTCAACGTATGCCCGTATAGCATCATGATATTTCTGCTGCCAGACGAAGATCCTCTGATGACTGACTTCGTGAGCACCGTGAAGCTCTTCTTCTATGGTTTTGATCTTCATGTTGTTCTTCATCATGACAAGAAAGTGCAGAAAGGACATCCAACTCCCAGTTCTCAGAAAAGGCAAAGCTGGTACTTCTGCAGACTTCCGGAAATGTTTGTGGCTGTGATTGCGGCTACATACCCAAAGAATCTCTGTCAATGAACGACCTTGTTGCAGCACTGTTGATGCCTTGCATTTGGAACACTTCCAGGTTCGAAGCCAACCAAAGTGCATGTAGACGCATGCTGCTCTCAACGATTGTGAATCAGCTAGGTCACCCGTGTCAAGTTTGCCATACATGACATGCTTCTGGAATGCAGATGAAGATGCAAACCAGTCCTCCTTAACACCTTTGCGAAAGGAGTTGAGGTCCATGGCTTTATGAGAGCTCATCTACTTTTACTTGGAGGCACCCTGAGCCATAATCGATTGAAGATCATGTTCAACAATGTCAGGAACCCCGGTTAACCCGCAGAAGGCGGGGCACTTAAAAATACTATACCCCAAAGATCTTGCGGACTTTTTTCGCACAGAAACTAGACCGGACAGCCGTCTGCCTCTACCGGTGAGACTGACGCCTTGCCCTTTAAACCCGCGGCCAATGTCAGGAACAGTGCAATTGTGCACAAGCGGCGGCAGCGGCAGGAGCTTATGTCGCCTCCGTGCATATGTATCTGAAGAAGATTCCAGCCTGCAAGGCTCATATCACGCAAGCTTGTTGGACAAGACTGCTGAAGTGCTACACGACCTAAGTGCTCAGAATTGGGGTGAGAAGTGTTCATGCTGCATGATGAGTCTGACCTTCAGCCTCGCGGCTGGATTTCCCAGAGTCTGGGCCCCGGAGTGCACAGAGTCCTTCATCAAGACTAGGATAAGTGGCATCTTGTAAATAAATGTTAGGGGGTCTCCGCCGGGGCATCCTTCTGCATGGGACTCTTCTTCTGAGGAGTTTTCAATCGGGACCTCGCGTTTTGAAATGTAAGCTGCTGGGATTTGCGCTACGCTCTAGAAGCGCAAGCACGGCAGCCCAGGATTTTCACAGCGCTGATGGCACCCATCTGGTGATTCTTTACAAGTAGAGTTTCTTTTTTCTGGTGTTGTTTCTGGGCATCCATGCACTACGCATACCAGCAATTAGTGAGAGGATCGTCACGGGGCTTGTTCGGAGGTGACTGTGGTATCCACATGTTAGCGAGTTTTTCGTTGGCCTTCCGGCCCTCACACGAGAGCAGATCTGGAATAGCAGGCGCGGCTTCGGAGCCTTGTTTCGACAAAGGATCGGCACCCCTGTCGCCACTACCTTCACACGATCACGAGAAAGACATTTGCACGACGCACAGGACGCATGACTGCAGCTTGTAGCGCTCACATCTCCACATTAGGTAGAATGACCTTCAGAGTCCTGCCCCATTTCCCCGCAAGTGCGGCAAATCTTTCGCGGGATGGCACGAAGCTGCGTCCTGCGCCAACTTTCTGGGTGCGGTGCATGCGATGCGGATATAGGTGCTAGAACACCTGCTGAGCCTACCCCCATTCCTCAAGGCGTATCTGAAGAATGCGCGAATGGCTCGTTGATAAAAACACCCTTGGCCTTAACAAGGGGGACATGCTTTGCCGCATCCGTGTCAGCATATGTTGGATTCTGCTTTTCAGACCTTGCCGCCCACACAACTAAGCCGTTCCTAGGTCTTACAGCCCCTGGCATCTCCTGTGAAACCTGTCAACTTGTCTGAAATCAAGAAATCGCAAGAACGAGAAACCTCCTTCTGGCTGGTTGAAGCATGAAAGTTCCAATACCCTGTTGTCTCGGGGCAACTGAGGAGCAAACGTTTTTGATGCGATTCCAGCGCCATGGATGCTGAAGATGTTTTCTAGCTTGGCTGCGTCCTCTGCCCAAGGAAGGAGAAGGTGCGGATGTACCGGGACCTCTTCAGGTCTCCCATGTTGACAGCATTTAACAGAATCTCATTCTTGAGATTGGCGGGCGTGTGCAGCGATGCCACTGTTTCTGCACGCATGCTGCATTTGGAACATGGGTGGGAGCGCGTGACCTTCCAGGACGCAATGAAGATTTCGTAAACTCGCACTCCTACATTTCCTGTAAGGGATCAAAGATGGTGCCCCACACCTGGATTACGTTGGAAAGGCCGTCCTCTGCTTAGATCCCGCAGATGTTCCAGCTACAACTGACCTACAAGACGCATGTCTTTGTGCCGGCTTCGTGCACATCTCCTGCCAACGGGACGCGCCACTTTTCAGAATTTTGCCGAGCATCTGGCTGTGGTCCAGTCAAGGATGCGTGCTTCCTATTGTCTGGTGCTTCAGCTTGGGGAGGCACATCACGCCGGGCAGTCCAGGCAAGCGACAGCGAGCCACCAACCTGCCAGCGATGTTTCTCTGGTCCAACTGCGTGCCTCAGCCTGGTCATCACCTCCACAATCAGGTCTCAAGTCTCAAATTGCTCCATGGTAGGATCAGATCATCGTTCTGCCGCAATTGCAATTTCAGCAGCCGGACACGAAGAGAGCCAGCTTGCAAAGTCAGGGGAGCCGCACAACTCACCAGCCTTCAGTGACGAGCACTTGGCTGTCTCCTTCTTGCCCATGTACCCCGCAGGACTGTGCTGCCACAGTTTTGTTGCTCAGCTGACTTCGGACCCTGCGTGCCGGATGGCTAGCTCCAAGCCCGTTCCAAATGTGAAGCAGTAGTAGGATACAAGTTTGCCAGCCCCTGCCGCCTCATTGCCTGCGCCTCCTGACAAGCGCAGATGTTGGGGGCACCATAGCTGCGGCGTCCCCTTGGCCTAAGTCGGAGTCCTAATCCGAAGAATGTGCAGCACACGCCCTGCCATGTTTTGCAGAATGTCCTCACAAGCTGCCACCGCTTGCCTGCAGGTGCCCCGACGCACACTCAAACTGTTGAGCACCGTAACAGCAAGCTGATTCACGCGCGGACTGCCCTTCGCAAATGAAGCTGGCCAGAACTGCGCGAATCATATCTCGGCCACGTTTCCACAACTTGGAGTTACGCCAACGCACCAACTCTTACAGCCAGCTCGGGCCAGCCTAACGGCAGTCCCATTCCTGTAGGGCATGCCAGCATGTCCATACATGTGGCGCCTCCTTGAATGTAGGGCCCCCCCTCGCCCCTTACTGCAGGAGGGAAATTTGATCCGGAGAGTACTTCTTTGAGGAGGGGGGTCAGCGTGAGGGTGTGTCTGAGCATTGGGTTTAAAGGCAAGTGGGATGTCTCCCGTGCTTTTTAGGATCATCCAAAGCAGAACTCATTTTTCGGGTACCTCGGTAGGTGGCCTGGATCTTGTTTAGGATAGCCTAGATAAAACACATAGTTCCGGGTCGCTCTGTTAAAAGCGGTGCAACCGCAAATTGACTGAGACGTTGACACGGCAACGTGCATCTTCAAGACTTGTCAAGGCCCTCCGAAGAGTCACTCCTCGCCACCGCACCTTCTGCGGCCAGGCGGCCCTGAAACAATTTATGGTTCTGGTCAAGAGCACAGGGTCATTCTAGTCAGAGACGCAAGAGGCTGTAGGCGGCTGGTGCTCGGTGTTCCAGGCTTTGCGGCCTTGCCTTTGATCGGGAAAGCGGAAATCAGCAGCCAACGTGTTTCGCGAGCCTTTCCTTGTTTGGCTTTGCCATTTGGCTGCCTCGGCTCTTTTCAGGGAGGTCGCCTTTGAGGCACCGCCCATCACGTTACAACTACGTCCTTTCTCCATCTGGCTCGCTGTACAAGAGGCTCAAGGTGGGCAAAAATCGGAGATTCTGAGACCCAAAGCAAAAACGCATAGCCGTGCCGTTGGCTCGGCGCGTCGTCTTGTGCCAGCATCTTGTGGAATTACTTGTCGACCATCATAAGGCTCTCAACGGAAGGACAATTGCAACTCACAGGCTGGCAACATCTGGCAACAAGACACCCTTGCCTGATTGCGTCATAAGAACCGAACTCTGAAGCCATGGAAGATGGCTCACTCGACTGGTTTCAAGCTCAGGAGATCGTCAAATGCTCCACGTATACGTCGTGGTAGTTGGCAACGAGACAAGAAGTAGCCCAAAGTATGCTGACGCAGCCTACCACTTGCAAGCTTGTCCTTCGTATGAATCTGAGCAGGTCCTGTAGCATCAACTTGTTTTGGCGCGGTGCGAGTCAGCTGGCCACCGAAAGATTTCCCCAGCTTTGTTCTGCCGCAAAGTTTCGGTCAACGAAGTGATGCCGAGGGGTCCCCAATATCAGAAGCACCACAAGGTCTTCTTTCGGGCTGCTTCAAACGGCGCTCAACACTCCCACCTGTTTCGGTGAAGGGGTCAACCTTGTAAACTTCTGGATGCAGCAGCGAAATAAGCTTACAGCCCATCCTGCGGATGTGCCTCATAGGTTGTCAGGCCACAGGAAGCAGCATTCATGGTTTCTCTCGGACCACGGAGCTTCCAGAGATATTGCTACTGAGCCCTGGCGCTCACATGGAAGCTGCCGTGTGAAAAACATGTAAACGGCCAGAACCCCAAAGCCTGAACCGCAAATTGCGGGCTTTTGCCGACTTCGGCGCTGCAGGTGGAGAGGTGCGGCGGAGATCCCTGTCCACGGGAAGCCTTCCAGATGCCTGCGAGTTGTGCCCAACATTGACCAATGCTGACATCCCAACTGCATGTCATGAGCTCAGGTTAGGATTTGGCGCTCGGTATCTGGAGTCACTTTGCTCGGAAAGGAGTGACACCTGGAACAAAGGAATAAAGACCCAGGCGGCCCAGCAATTTCGTGGGAGGTCACAACATGTGGTGCTGCACTGCAGCATCCAGGGCCCGGGCCACCTTCAAGCGTGATGGAGCCTTGCTGTCTTCTGCAGACCTGGCATTTGCAATGCTCAGCGTGACAGCCGGGCAAGGGACCTACACATGCTTGCCAGGTCTGAAGGGATAGCAGTTGATTGTGCTGGAGACTTGGGCTTGTAGCACAGGGCGTCCAACAGCCTACAAGAGTCTACAAGTCAGCAAGAAGCCGAGTCCCTGCCCAGAGATTCCCTGGGCAATGCTTTGTGTGGCGTTCAAGGTTTGATTTAGGGTCCCCTCTTGTTGCTCCATGGCCACATCGTCAGCCGCAGTGCCTCAATACGCTGTCCTATCTCCAACGAACAAGTGAGAACAACTTCAGCATAGCATACGTAGTCAATCACTGTTTGGGGCTTGCAGTCTGTGAGGAAGCTCTGCAATGCAGGGACTGCGCCAAGTGCCATAATTATTCCTAGGCTGGAATGCTGACAAGGCAAACAGGTCTTGCAGAACCTGGTCGCAATGGATTCCTGCTGGGGCTGCGCTTGCCATGGTGAAAAGAGGCTGTCTTTGGAGGCGCCCCGCAGCAGCTGATGCTCCCTTGGTATGCGGATCGTGGCATTAAGGCAAACTTTAGGTCCATGCTTTCTACCGGACGAAAGTCTTGCAGGCCACAGAGCCAATCTCACGTCCTGAACAGAAGTTACAGAAGTCCAGCATCCTAGCTTCGGCAGCTTGCGCCTCACCAGCTGCACAAAACAAGTTTTACCTGCGAAGCCTCCCCAGCAGTTGTAAGTGAAGGTTTGGGACGTGGCACCCTGGCGTTATGCCGGAAAAGCCTGCTATGCTGTTGATCGTGGGGTATGCTAACTTGGATCTCTTTGCTGGTCTACACAAGAAATCTGCCTTCCGAGTAAAAAACTACGCTTGTTCAGGCTGTACACGTTAAAGCAGCACTACAAAAGGTCATCTATGTCAGGCCAAGGCAGCGATTTGCCCTAAACTCCAAGGGCACCTTGCCTTTTTTGGGCACTGGGCAGATCCAAGTTTAGCCGGCTTGTGCCCTGGATGTTATTGTTTGGCTGTACAACAACGCTTGTACCACCTTCTCGTAAATTCCAATTCAGCAAAACTTGCCCGGGCATGGCTGTGACGCCCCACCCCTGCCAACAATAATGGAAGAGAATCAGAAACCAGCTCATGAAACAGCAACCATACGAATCAGACACCAGCTCTGCATCAGAAGCCTCTCATCGGTAACCACCGCCCATCAGAAACGACTGCAGGGTTCGAGGTTCGGGTAGGTTGATTCACCAGCGTTTGGAGGGCATCAAAATACCCAGCAGCTTGCAGAGTTTGACGTTTGCTTGCTTGTTTTTGCTCGTTCTTGACAGGGCCTGGAGGGCATCCAGCTATTCAGCAGCCAGCAGAACGGTAGGTTGATTAACCAGAGCAACCAGACTTTGGCGGACATGCAGCTACCCAGCATGACATTTGGCAGCTCTCGGCGGGTTTGGTAATTTGCTCAACCACATAGAGTTACAAACAGTTTGTGTTGTGGTGCATCTGCAAGGAACACGAACAGCTTTAAGGTATACGCTTTGAGCTTTTCGTGGTGCGTCCGCAAAACTTGGACACGAACATACTGACATACTGTTTGCGCTTGTTGTGGTGCCTCCCGCAGAGATAGAACACAAACTACTTTGAGATGCACGCTTTGTTCTATTCGTGGTGCATCCGCCAAAATAGAGCAACTCTGAGATGTACGCTTTGAGCTTGGAGGGCAGCCGAGGGAGCTTGCTCCCCTGAATTGCGCACACTAGTTGTGCACTTGAGTATCTTCGTTGACTTCCTCTTGCTCGTCTGTTGAGCACTTGTCTTGGTGCTGCAGCCTTCCGAGCAGCAGAATCCATTTTCCTCAATGAAAACGTACGGAAGTCCATCTGATTGAGTGCTGGCGCAACATAAACTGATTCATCCCAAGGGTTATTGCTTTTGTGACATGGCTGCATTAGCGAATCTTTCTCTGTGACGGAGGGGGGCCAACGACGTTTTCGGAGCCCCGTGAGAAGTTGAGAGCGATGTGGGCGGCAGGCTGCACCGTACAGTAAGTGCTCGTCGACACTCGCTCACTCAGTCACTCTGTCACTCTGTCACTCACTCACTTGACAGCTAATGCCATCCCAGGTGCTTTGTTGAGTCTGGGCTGGTGCCAGGTACTAAAGTTTGCTGACGGGAGACTTGTGCTTAATCTCCTGCCTTCCGAAGCCATGTGGCCTGGCTTGGAGCGTTCTAGAAGCTTAGCCGCATGGCTCTGGCAGCTTTGAGCCTGCTGCTTTGGCTGACTTTTCAGGCCCTGATCAGTTTGACGGGAGATGAATTCTGCGAAAATCTGTGAGCCCCATTCAACAGGATGCCTCTGCACAGATTCCCGAAGGGATGAGCTTGCTCGTCGGCTGCACCGAAGTTGTTCTGGTGTCGCTTCAACCCCATCCTCTGGACTTTCAAGGTCCTACTACAGCAGCTTGCCTGCGACAAGGATCTTAATCTGGGGAGGCGATACAGGCCAGGGCCTGGACATGTCGAGGGCTGGAGCCTTAGGGGAGCGAACGGCAAAGAATAGATGTGACTTGTAGGATTTTTTGTTTATATCGATTTGCATGTCGTTTGTCGACTCAGTTTGCTCACTCTCGGTGTGCTTTGCTACTCCTCGTTGGCAAGAACGCAGAGGCGCGCCGTTCCTTGCGGTGAGAATGCAGCTTGTCAACGTTGGTTCTCTCAGCATAGCCTGGTTGGCGAAACGTCTTTACACATGGTGGGTTGCAGCTCGAATGCACATGCTCGCATAATCTGTGATACCCGACGAAGAAGCACGGTAGATGCACATCATGCTGCACATTAGGCGCGTGCGAATGGGCACTAGCCGGATCCCACGTTCAGCAAGCCAACAAGAAGGTCCCCAAACCAAAAGCATATTCCAGTAGTTCTGGCAAGATGGGCATGATGTCGACAGGACAAGGGTCAGGTTGTTGCTGCCAAGAGTATAGCTGCCCGGACCAAAAAGGTAGGCTCATGGTGAAACGTGTAACGCACCGCAAGCCGGAGTTGCGGTTTGTGATGGTGACGTATCAATCCTTTTGTGACTTGCGCGCCGCTAACACTTGTGAGTCTGTTGTGAAGCTGGTTCCAAAGAACCTTCCGAGAAGTAGGTAAAGTTCGGCAAAAAGTGCGTTTACAAAAGCGCATCTTCGCATTCCAAGACAGCGTCCTTGTTGACATCAGCCTGGCTAGTGTGGAAGACGGACATGTTTAGATCGGAGAGCATGTGGGTGGATGCCAGGATGCTGAGGCAGCTGCCACGCAGCTCCTGGCTGAGCCGCCAGTGGCAGGAACGTGCCCGCCAGGCTCCACCGCGCTTGGAGCCCTTCCGCTGTCCTACTTTGTTCTGTGCAGGTGTGGATCCTGTAGTGCATTGGGATGCGGGCGATATACACAATGCGACGCCGCGTGCCTGCATCCAGAGACAGGGTCCACAACAGCACCTTGCTGAGTGATTTTTTTCACAATGTGCCCGGAGGTATGTGCTGCATTTGACCGCCAGGTGCACCTTGCTGAAGTGGTTGTTAAGCTGCACATCGAAGTGAAATCCGAAAGGTACGAGTCAACTCTTGGAGGGTCACCTGACATATCGTGGAATTTCGCGGAGTGATTTAGCAGCTGTAGTCTCACAACGTAAGTTCTTGCCTGGCCACGGGCTTCTCATGAGAATGCATCGTGACCTTGCAGAAGAGTTTGTGTGGAAGTCCCATACACCTATGGCCCACCGGTGTGGTGCGCGTGTCTCCGAACCGTCCCTTTCAGTATAGTGGCGTAGCATGCCGACTTACCTGCTGCTTTGCGCTTGGGCGGTGAACTGTTAACATGCATTGGTAAATCAAAGCTGCAGGAGTCGCTCCCATGTGTAATCGTCGAAACTACAGGCACCAGGCACTTCGAGATCCTGCACGCAGCAACCACATGAGGTAACGAGAGCGCTGCCTCTGTCCGACTCTGTCCTTCCGATCTCGCCCTCGCCGGAAATGGCAACTTCAAAAATGCTCATGTTTGGGGCGTGACACATGGAAGAGCTCCTTGACGAGTCTCTACCCTGCAATCGCTCTGGCTCCGGCGGTGCTGGGAGTCGCGTCAGCTTTTTCGCATTAGTTCTGCGTGATCGGAGGGGGCTGGTGGGGGAATGGGGGCGTGAGGCTACTTCAGCCGAATGCGCACGCATGTCACGATCCCCTCCGCAATTTGCATCGGTTGTCAGACAATGTGAAGCCCGTGGCAACAAGCAGTTCTTAGTCATAGCACCCTTGTACAGAAATCATCTAGTAGACAGGCCTCGCACTTGTGGCTGTAGCTTGAGCTCATGCTCTCTCTAGGGCAGGTACTGCGTCGAAACGGAAAAAGCTTGCCATCCATATGCGGGTGGCAAAAATATCTCGATCGCCTGGCTGTCTTCATTGTCGTCGTGACCCATCTTTCGCTGCAGCCTGAGCGTCGAAAGCTGGAGAAAGACAGGGCTTCTCCTGAATGGCGCATTGCACGCAGTTGCAATGCCAAAGAGACAGCAGGAGACGGCTGCAGACACTACAATGGTCTCGCACGGCTTCATCTTGCGATGCTTGGCTATCAGGAGGGCGACACACAGCCGAAGAAGAGGAAGAAGAAGTCCCAGGCGCGATGTGATGTTCGGGCTTGTCATTGCAAGGGCCTCACCTGCAGGGGCCCGGGCATGATGACGACTGCGAGGGCGAGCGTGGGTTCCTCGTCACGGGCATGACCTGTCAAAACGCCCTCCGAGGTTCGTTGAGGGCGGGGGATTCAAGCGGGAAACTTTTGCGACAGTTGTGGAGACTTTGACCTTGCGCTTTGTGCAGGGCTGAAAGACCTGAGACTTTGGCTTGAGGTCGAGGCGTGAGAGAGAGTGCTTTGTCAGCTCTGGCTCTGGAAGCATACGCCAATGCTTGCTCATGAGGCGGAGCTCGCAGGGACCGGATCAACGGATGAAGCTGCCGAGCGTCCGCAGGGAGTGGCAGAGAGCTCCTCGTCTCCCAGTCTTACAGGCTTCAGAGAATTGCAAGTATATAGCTCCCGCAGTGCCGAAGCACTTGAGGTTTGGATGCGGAGCTGGCCGAGTTGCGGAGTGACCCAACTCAGAGGTCAGAGAGAGAAAGTGTTTGGCGGAATCGGAAGTGGCAGCTGGAGTCTGGAGTCTGGAGGCGCTTCCTGACGGTAGGCATGGTCTGCAAGGAGGCAATCGACTTTTCACGACGTGACCGCGAGCGCGAGCGTCACGAGCATTCGGAAGCGGGTGAATCGGCTTCAGGTGGCTTTCCTGCGCTCCCAGCATGAGGCCGATCTGCCTTCGGGGCTGGAGCCTCGCTGGCCGCAGCCCCCTTCGAGCCTCCAAAGCCAAGCAAGTGGTCCCAAGGCTGGCAAAGAAGTTCCTGGGCCCCAGCGCCAAGAGGCGCTTCATTTCGCGCTTCGCCGACCGTGCTCGGACCCCTGGAGACCTGGAGACAGGAAAAGAGTGCAGAGCCGATGGGAAGTCGACTAGTCACAAGTCATGAGTAGTCAGTTTGGGCAGTCTTTGAGGTCCTCCCGGTGGATGGATCCACGAGGCCAAAGCTGGAAAGCTTCAAGAGTGCTGCGCTCAGCACACCGTGATTTGCTTGAGCTGAGAGTCGCTTCTGCATGTCATTCTGTAGGTCTCGCAGAAGGCCGGAAAGACTACGAGCAAGACTCCTCATGTGGTGGACCGCTGCGAGCTGCTACGCCGCTACGCTTCGGAACCGTGAGGCATGCTCTCCGGCCATAAGGGCCGGCCATGGCGCTTGCTCTACGAAGCCTTCCGGGGCGGATGGAACACCATCTCCAAAGAGGCCCCCAGCTGAGGGCCCAGCTGGCCGCCGTAGTTCGGGGGCCCGTCGAGCTCAGGATGCCATGGAAGCCTGCAAGCAGCACTTGGGCCCCGACTCTCAAAGTGCCGGGGGCTCTTAGAGCTCAGGGCACCAAAGCGCAGCTTGCGGACTTGCCCAGCCGCTTTCCAATGCTGCATTCGTGTTCAGGTCAGTGAGCCGGAGGTGACCATTGTCTGCACCGTGCAGCCACGATTTGTAGGCCGTCGCAGTCGACCACACCTCCATGCCCCCATGTGTGCGAAGCTCGAAGCTGCAGGACTGGCTGTTGCGGAACTGGACATTGACTGCTTACGGGTGGACGACGAGTGAGAGTGCATGGCCGTGGCCGTGTGAAGAAAATCCTGCTTCGGGCATCCTTAGAGGACGCTCTAGCCTCTAGCTATACTACACATACCCCAAGCACAAATGCACATCTACATGGGAGATATGTTGTGCGGCTACTTAAGCCACTTGAGGATGCCCCTGCGTTCTCAAGCCTGCATGTCGTGTTTAGTGGTGCATGATCCTCCCGAGAAAGTTGTGAGTGTGAGTGCCAGATTCTGGGTGTCGATGATTTCAGAGAGCTGTGCAGCCTTGTGTAGGCATGTTGCTCGGCCGCAGGCCTAACCGGACCTGATTTTGTTCTAGCCATTGTACCCTTCTTGAAATTGGTCAGGCCTCGCCTCACTGAACCTGACAAAGGGGCGTCTAGAGGGACATGGCAACCCACTGACGAAGTATGGTCAGCGCTTGCTGCGGCTCTCCACTCCTGCAGCCATGACTCAATGAGGCCTTAGTCCATTTCTTGGTAAGCATTGCCGACAGTTGGAACTAGGCCGTGCAAGGTTGCTGTAACAGCAGATAGAGCCAATCGCTCAGTTTCGCTCTTTCGCTACATCCTGTTACATCTTGCCATGTCAAGTCGACAAGTGCGCAAGCTACGGCAGCTGCGCGACGGTGGCTCCGTCGAAGAAGAGGTGCCGATGCGACACGAGAAGATAAGCGAGGCACATCAAAATGTACGATTTTGAAAGGAAGAGGAGCACAGCGAAGTTGAAGAGCTTACCAAGGCTTGTGGTAGTGTGGTAGCTTCTGCAGTAAGGCACAAGTCTTCCCATTCTGCATCGCAAGGCTTCTTCCGCCTTTGGGGCTTTGGTGGACTCGGACGCGTCGCAGGAGGAAGATGAGGCTCGGCCGGGACAGTGCAAAGCTGAGAGCGAATCTGTCAAGGAGAGGAAGCAGAGCGAAGCAGAGTCTAGAAGTCTCTATAGCAGGTTGCTCCCGCACCCGTGGCCGTCAGCGCGAAGAGCGCAGACGAGGCTCGCAAGCCCCGGCATGGGTCCCGAAAGGGCCGAAAGGGACGTCAGGCAGAGAGCGGCGAAGGCCCATTCTTGCCTGAGATTCAAGGAGAGGAGGCGGAGGCCGAGCAAGGTTTTCAAGCAGAGAGTTTTCAGGAGATCGCAACCGAGACCGAGTCGAGCGCCGCAGGCCCTTTGAGCATGTGCCGCCACGATTTCTCGGCCGAGACGGAGCGGCAGCGCGTCTTCGGAAGCGGCCGGCCAGGATCCCTGGGCCAAAGCGCGGGGCAAAGAAGGGCCCCAAGACCGCGAGGTCAAGTGGAAGGTCGCACGCTGCATCACCGGCGATTGTTCCTCGTGTCCTTGAATCCAAACGAACCTTGGGTTAAGCCGGAGAACTCTCCTCGCATGGTGGCAAAGGTCGACCAAGACGGGGCCGCGATCTTTGACTTCGAAGAAACAGCTGCGTCCTCCCGCGACTTGAAATCTCTGCGACAGATCGTTGGCCAGGAAGACCCGCAGTTGCTGCAGCAGTATTTACAGCGTAACTCCTTCTCTCTGGATGGTCTGCTCGTGATGGCAGAGTTCCACCGACACCAGGGATCGCACGAACAAGCTCGGGAGTTTGTGCGACGTGCTGTGTACACCTTGGAGTGCTCCCTGTCCCCGGATTTCTCCCCCTTCCAGACGACGGGCTTGGGACCAAGTGCTCTTCGACCACGAGTTCGCCTCGATGTGAAGAAGGAGTCCTCCGAGTGGTCGGGCTGGAGTTGGCTGAATGCACTTTGGCGTCACATGCACTGCCTGAGAGGCCTGGGGATGCACCGGACGTCTTTGGAAGTTTGCAAACTGCTGCTGGCCTCTCGGCATCTCTCTTCGATACCCAAAAGTTTGAACAAGTCTTGCTGCTTCTTTCGATGGCTCGGGGTCAGTTTCGTTTGGAGGCTTTCAGACTTTCGGATTCATCCAAAACTTTCGCTGCTCGGAGGCTTGCACCTTGCCGAGGGACCCGACGCGCGGGCTTCTGTTCGCCGACTTCTTGTGCTTGCGCTCCCGCAGCTTCCAGGTCGTGGAAAGCTTTGCCACGCTCCCTGGTTGTTATGGCCTGGCACCATCACAGACACCATACACGGCAGAACTGAGCTTCTCTTTTCCAAACATAGCCTATTCCCTCGCTCTCTGCACGCAGCTCGGGCGTGGCCAGGGCAGCACCCCAGATCTGGGAGCTCTCAGCAATCTCTCTTTGGATCCCATTCTGTCTGGGGTGGATGACGACGACTGGGACCAGGATTTGCGCGCGCATGCTCGACTGATGCGTGCGTTGCTGTTCTTTCCTGGCTGCCTGCGACCCCTTCTTGAGGAGTGCGGTGTCAACTTGCAGTCCAAGCCGAGTGGCTCTGAATCGTGGTTAGACCTCCTTGCGGCTCCCCCGTTCTCCAACTCTATGGAGTTTTGTCATAGCCAGCATGCGCTAGCACACGGGCGTCTGTGTGTCGCATATGCTAAGCTTTGCGGGCCTTTGTGGAAGGATGCTGTAAAATGGCTGCACGCCTGCTGTGCCCGATGGACACGAATTCATTGTAGCGAAGTCTTTGCCAGAGACATCGAAGCAGCACGCAGGAGCTGGGCAAGCAGCCACCTTGCCTTATGCGAGGCTCTTGACGACTACAGAGACTTGTTGAGTGATGAATGCGCGGAGAATCCTACCCCGGCTCCCATCCTCGAGCGCGCAATGACCGCAAGGCTGCACCCTCCAAGGAATCAGAATCTCTTTGCTGGAGCTGCTGGGGCAGGTGCACACATGCCTGAACCCAACATGTCCTTACACACTCCGGCAGCCATACTGTTTTTTCAGTCGTTGCTGCCATGGAGTGAGCTGGACCAGACCGGCGTGCAGGTTTCGCCGCTCTTTTGGCGAGATGTTGTTTCGGGAGCTCTTGCAGTTGCCAAGGGCACTGGGCTTTTCGGGCTTGGTGCCTTGGCAGATCTTGGGCGGGCAATCGCATCACTCTGGAAGTCACTGCGTGGCTGAGACTTCCTCACCTTAATGTTTTCCTCCCAGATGGTTTTAGCATCTGTTGGAGGTCAAGAATCGGCTTCCTGCCGCGCACTTGCAGCAAGCGTTATATGCTTGCCGCTTGCCTGCTTCAGCGCATTGTACAGCTTTTTTTGCGAGTCCTGCCAGCTTCGAAAAGGGAGTACATGAGATTTGCGTGGCCGATTCAGCACGGGACAGCGGAAGTTTCCGGCGGACTCTGATAAGTCTTGCTACTTGCTCCATCTGAAGGCCAGCATCGGCCGATGTTCCGGGGCTGCGGAACACGCCCCAATCAAGAAAGCAAGCAAGAAATTGTATGCTGGGTGTTCGGATGTGCATCATGGTGCGTGGGTGCCCCAAGTGGTCTGAGGGTTGATGCAAGATTGCAAGATGATCTGGGGGGATCGGCGGCATAGTGAAAGGAGGATAACAGAGACGTGGGAGTGGGATGCTTTTCTGCGTTGCTTGTCTTTCTCTGTGCATGTGTGGTGGCGCAGCTCTTTGCTCCGGCCGCACGCAGCAGCCGTTGTGAAGTCATGCTGGGAGATGCGGACAGTCTTCGATGATTCGCCAAGCCTAAACTCCGAATGCATCCGTTCAGTCCATCCAAGAGATCTTAGATACTGGCGAGAGAAGAGAAAGACCTCACTCAGGAAACATCAGGGCTACAGTGCTGGCAGTGAGGCATCTGTCTCCCGACACATCGCAAGTAGTACCAGTGACATATATATACAATCTTTTTCTCTCCAAGCCCACGTGATGCAATGTCGGCTGCGGTGGTTCGCCCTCCGTTCTACAGGACTCCGAGCTGTTGCACTGTTGCAGTCCGTGCTTTGCTTCTCTGCGTGCTCTGAGATGAAGTTGAAGTCATCAGTGCCAGGAGTTGCACGCAACAGTTGCACACATGCAAAAGTGGTTCTCAGCGTAGGTAACTCAGAACCTAGTCCAGGCTCCAGGCTACGCAAGGCCCCACGATACTGCCCAGACTGCCTACAGCCTACAGTGTCGCCTGGCTTTTGTCCGAGTTGTGAGAGCGTAAATGGTGTGCCTTTGCAATCGCGGCTTGGGACAAGGGCAAGGTCCGGAGCTGCCTTGTCTTGCCTCTACGAGTTTTCAAGACATGCGTTTGTTATGCAGGTCGTTGCAAAATCTCGGCACACACGAATGCAAGAGGCTTCGCGTCCACGCGATGCACTCAGCCCTTGATTCCTTGTCTTTTGGATGCTACCGAGCTGGGTCCCAGGCCTCTCACGCAACTCCGAGAATCTCTCGAGTCGAGCCAGCCCCAGCTCGCAGAGAATGGTCGAAGCTTGACATCTCATGTGAAGCAGCGTTGTCAAGGCTGTAAGTAGGCTTGAGGCCTGTGAGAGATTCCTCAGTCTGGATGGCTGCGGCTGCCCTTCGCAGATGCAAGAGTAGATTCTGCAAGGCACGTAATTGTGCAGGCTTGGTTTGTGCTGCGTACCGACTCACTGTTCTGCCGAGGCTGGCTGCAGACGTTGCCAAAGAAGTCGAGGAGCACGGCACAACGTGGCACGCGGTGGTGTTCCCGCCGCAGGGGAGTTCGGGTGCAGGTCCAAGGGCGGCCGGTGAGGCGGCCCAGAAAGCGACTCCCGATGCACACAACGAGGCGCGTGTCACGGACGGAATCTGCTTAAAGTTCCCTTTCTTATAAGCCCCTGATGTTGGCCACGCGTTGAAGGAGTGGCAGCGAAGAGAAGGACCTCACGGTTTGGCAGGCAGCGGCGGCAGCGGTGGTTTTGTCAGAGACTGGACCAGACCACGAGCTTCGTTGCACGGGACTCTCCTTCGCACCAGGATTCCCCTGCTGAAGTCTACAACCCGTCCCAGGGTATGCTTGTTCTACAACAGGCTGGACCGACATGTGAGATCTTGCAGCACTCTCTGTGTTTCCTGTGGCCAGGAGCAGTGGCACGAAAGGCCTCGGACTCATTGCTTCAACCGAAGTCTAGCCTGGCTTGCGGCATGAGTTCGTAGGTTGACTCATGACCGTGTACTGGACTGGAGTGGCAGGCACGGTGCTTCACAAACAGCGTAACATGCCCAGCTGGGTACGGAAGGGAGAAAATCGCGCGAGGCTTCGGGCCCAAAAGGCGAAGTTGCAAGCCGCGGACCTGGCCTGACCTGAAAGTCTGAAAGAGGAAAAAAGGAGGTCTAGTAAGTCTAGTATTCCGCCGTATGTCTGTAACAGTTATATACTAATTGTTACGCGCTCCGTGACTTCAAGAACGCAAGACTCTTCCATTCCGGCAGATTTGATTGCTCAAGAAACCGGTACAGTAGTTCCTCGATACGGAGCGGCAACGCAAGCTCAAGAAGAAAGAAGCGAGCTGCTCTGCCCCGGCATGTGACTTACGACTGGTAGTAGTATGGTCACTGCCAACTTGTGGGCAAACCCCCTAGGCAGAACTCTGATGGCTCCAGCCCAGGGTATGCTCAGATACAGCATAGGACATACCCATGAGTCCCCATGAACAAGAGTTCGGATGGCCGTTGTCCGGCGTCCAAGGTGCTGGCTGCGCCCCCGGAGGAACCGGCTCCGCCTGCGGTGAAGCTTCCGCCACCGGTCGTGCAGGCTCCGGCAGGTTAGGGAATTGGGGTTGCTGCAGAGCTTGTCGACGTGTTTCTTCGCGCTTCCAGGAGGTGTTCGACTCTCTCGCAAAGGACCCTCAGGACGAGATACAGGCCCGTTTGGAGTCGAAAAGGCAGGAGTCGTGTGGCGCTCAGGGTTGGAACAGCCCGAAACGCTTTCTGGCAGTCCTCTCAGCCAAGCTTTACCAAGGTTGGCCCTGCAGCTGCTTGATGGCACAGCTTTTTGTACGGTGCGGATGACCGTTCTAGGCATATGTTGTGAGGTTGGAGCTCATCTTGGCGAACCCGCCTTTATTGCTGCAGAAGGTCCCCGCATATTCCTTTGCGAGGCATGTGCATGTGCCTGTCCTGGAGGCCATGAAGACTGCAGGCCCAATGAAGATGCGTATCGCCAAGGCCTGGGCACATGGCGTCGTGCCTGATGGCATAACTCTCAGACTTCTGAGGTGGAAGCATCAGGGCCTGAAGATGGCTCCTACATCGCCTTGGGCTCAATCTTGGTTTCACTGGCACACAGTCTTTAACTTCAGAGCGGAGGTGTACTTCCACTGTGACTCTTCGGCGCGGGTCGAGCGCCGGCTGAAGCGAGCAGCTCCAGCGTTCGCCTGAGTGGCTGCACAAAAGCGAAGAGTGCTACAGAATCAATTAACCAACGATCTTGTGACTGGAGCCCATGTCAAAAAAGGCAGTCTGGGGCCTTTTCGCCAGTTTCTCTGACCATGAATTGTGCGAGCTGTCTTGCGCAGCTTTGCCATACAGAATGAAGTGTGAGTCCTGGTCCACATCCCGTTCATGGGATCACATCCGTGGGCATGTTTGTCTGCGACTTCCGAAACTCTCTGTCGCGATTCCCAAAGCAGAGGACCTGTGTTGCGATTCGTGTCCCACCTGGAGTCGACTTCATGCACTATAGCAAATCGCTGCCGACAGCAAGCATGCCGCTTTGTAGCGTAGTGAGAAGCTGCTTGTCAATCAGGTTCTGGCATCTGCGCTGGCGCGGCGGCTGCTTCTAGGGTACGTCCGAGATCTGACTTTTGTATCAGACTCAGGCTCATCTACGACTCTACGAGCTTGAGTCTGGCGATTTGAACCGGGGACTTGCTGGGACTGTCAACTTCTAAGGTCCCAGTCGCCCATTCTTCGGAGAATCAAGGCTTGACATGTCCGCCTGTTTCTTGCAACACATCTGCGGCTGGAAGATGCGGCTGCCGGTACACTCTGGCGGTCCAGACGACGAGTGAGGACATTTTTTGATCGAAAAGGTTGCAAATCGACGATCATGTGTGACAACGGGATGAGCTTGGTTGCGCCTTCGCTCTTTTCCTACTGGCAGGAGGCAGCAGGTCGTCAGCGCTGCACGGTAACCCCGGCTATACTTGCTTCAGGGTGGTTTTCATACTTCCACTTCGTGCAATCTGCCAAGTCTCGTGCACACGATTTGCTCGCTGCAGAGCAGCCACGAAGGGCCCGGGGCTGTGCTAGAGCAAGCATATATCTAGCAGCTAGCAGAGCCTCATGGTGCAAGGGCTTCCTGCCGCCGGGCTGCAAGCAGAACGTGTCAGAGCGTAATCCGAAAGGAAGGTCGCGATCGGCTGCGGAGCTGAGGTGCCCCTTTTCCTCGCGTATGGCGATCGTCGTCTCGAGCTGCTGACCAGTGCTGGCTATGATGGAATTCGCCAACAGGCAGATCCTGTTGTGGCTCAAGAAAATTTTAATAATCTTGCTTGCATCTGCTCCGTCTTCCAGGCTGAACAGCTGCTCGCTTTGCATCCTGAAGCCTACGACCTCTACGATTCGCATGGGAAGGCAGCTTT